TAAACCCTAGGGGTGTTACTTATCATGTAAATTCTTGTCAAATCTTAAACATTTAGTGAAAGACACAAAGTAATTAATTATATTATCATTACAGAAAGTCAGTAAAATACTAGCTCTATGGGAAAATTACATAATTATGATTTTTTGAAAATATTTCATGCTGAAAATGATAAAAGAAGTCAATTTTTTTTTTATTTCAAAATTTGACATATAGGCAAAAGTGAACAATGAAATTTAGTTAATAAAAATCTATTAGCGTCCAAGTCGTTAAAAAAAAATAAAATCAAATTGTCAGTCCATCTTTTAAGACGCCTGCCTACGCTTCATTTTTTGGTTCGTGGTCGCCACTCAACGAGTTAACAGCCCTAACGTTCATACACGCTTGCAATGAGGAAGTATTTAAAAAAAAAATTAGTTCCCGAAATCAAACTAGATGTCGCTACGATACGTTCTTGATTGCTCCATGACAACCTTCCGGTTTTCTTTCATGTTTAAAAGTATATTAGTTTTCAAAACTCAATAAAAAACTCATATTCTATTTCTATTTTTTTCGTATTTGTATTGATATCTAAGTTTCGAAATTTTCAAATTTCAGTCTTTTAATATGTTAGTTTTAACAGGAACGACAATGACTGTCTTTAGTCCATTCGTTTCCATTCCATTCGTCTGCTAATCTCCTCATCCAATTAAATCTTGTTTTTTTAGTCCTTCTATAAGTATACAACCAACTTCAAATGCTTTTAATTTTAAAGCAAAATGTTAGTATTCATGCGAATAAATTTGAAATCTAAACCGTTTCAGTGTAAATTCTTAACTTTTTCGTGGTTACACATAAAAGTAGTTGGTAAATAAATGTTCGGTTTACCCCTTTTAACCCCCTCACGAGGGTGGTTATGTTGTTTGTTCATGATAAAGTACAGATTGTGTGCATCTCTTATTGTTGAAGAGATTCTCATAATACTAGACTATCCGTCTTTAATACTTGTCATAGAATGTTGTTTGGTTTTTTAAAGCTTATACTTTGACATATACTTTAATTTATTATATTTTCCAGTATAGCATTGATCAAATATAATATAATACTTTTTTTTTTTAATTTCCTCCTGCAGCATTATTCAACTCTATCCAGGTTATCTAAGTTACCTTTTTTCTATTTTCAAAATTTCATTAATAAAAAAATACTTTCGTACATTATGAATTATCATTGAACATTTTCTATTTAATTTTTCTGAAATCTTCTTTACCAAAATTTAATTAAACAAAAAAATAGACTCTTGTAATTAAAGATCCCTGGATAAAAAATCCATATTCTTTTTTAAAGAACATATTAAATCAAAGGGAACATCCTTTTGCAAAATTTATAAAATTAATTAAAATATTGTCATACATTGCGAATTTTTGAAAACTCCAAATCAAAACGAGTCAGTTTAAAAGGATCATACACGTTTACAAAACCGTGGGCCGTTTGCTCCTCGTTATACCCCTACAAATTGAGACACGAGTGGGAGGCGGCCCTGGACGCCCCTAACCCCTAAATATCTCTCGCCCCTAAAGGGGTTGCGGTATCGCTGCACACTACGCTCACCATGCAAGATGCGTTTTATGGGAATAAGAAGGATTTATTTTTTATTACATCTAAAGCGAATTGTAAATTTATAGAGTAATATTATGATGATGTTTGGAAAAAAAATCGTTGTCATAATAAAAAAAATCCTACATATGTTTGGAATAGTTACTAGTTGATCCATAAATAGTTAAACTTAAAAATTAAATTTTGAAAACTATGTCTTTCTTAGCTAGAATTTAAATAAAACAACATTATAAAACATTCTTAAGTTACAATTACTGTTTTCAAAAAGAAAGTCTCTGGTAGTTTTGATTTTCTTTTGTATTAAAAATACTGTAGAAAATACTGTAAAAATACTGTAAAAATACTGTAAAAAATAAAAATATGCTCAATGTAAGTTTTTTGATGTTTTTATTCACTGTCGATCTTGAGCGCGCTAAGATTTTAGTATGGAATCCGATACAGCGCTCCTAGTGGTAACTACCAAAAACTATAAATCTCCATACAAATTTACGCGTTCACTAGTGATTTTCACCAGTGAACGCGTTAGCGTAAAACTTACACTTACCACTCTGAATATAATATGTGTTCGTAGATGGGCAAAACCGTGTGGAGTGGTTAGTGATTTTTGCGAGATTTTCTGCCATTTCTATATGTGAATCGTGTGCGGGCGGTTCACTGGGTGTGGAAGTAGCTATATATGGTTATAGCAATAGACTTCACTTAAATAACGGCTGTTTCTATTAAATAATGTTGGTCACCGTAGCGGTCGCTTACAGCATACAAAGAGGACGAACACAGATTTCCCACTTCGTGTAACGTGCGCCTTTTCATATAATTGTTATATCGTGTTTCATAGGGAAGAGAGCTTCATACCATGCTTAATGTAAACAAGAAGGTGTTTGTGCAGCCGACTGTGATTGAGCAAATTAATAATTTAAATAAGATTTTTACATGATTCTAGGGAAGGAAAAATGTAGAATACATCAGCTGTTTGTCACCATGTGAATGTGTGTGTCAGGCTGGCATAATGTCACTGATAGATGCTAACAATAAGGTGTTTAAGTATAAAAGATAATTTTTTACCTCTGGATTAGGAAAAATAAACTAGATTAAACGTCTTTTTCCAGCCCCGAGCTGACTGATCAGTAAAGATAAAAAAATGTAATTCAAACCAATTTCAGTTGATTTTTTTTATGGTACCATTTTAATTTTTTAAATGTCAAGAATGTGCTTTAGACACTTAATTTAGCATCTGAATAACATATAAGACGCTGTTTTATATTATATTTTTTTTTTGTAAAATATCAACACGCCATAAGGTATCTTGCATCATAAACGACAAAGTGTCAAGGGTTCAACCATAACCAATACAGAAAATCAATACAGGTTTTCCAAGTTTTATATTTCCTTCATAAACGGAAGAATGTTAATACACTAATAAAAAGTAAACATTCAAGCGGTAAGTTGAATTTAAAATATTTTCGTATATTGGCTTTGATGTTTTGTATATTATTAATCGTACCATGCTAATTTGGAATAGGTGACTGAATTAAATATGAAAAAAATAGTAACAAACGGAGGAGCTCGATGGAGCAACTTTTGCGTTAAGTGTGCGATGATGCGAGGTCAAGCAACTTAAGCAAAGGTCAGTCATAGAATGGGTGACCAAACACTTATTGTCAAGAACTTCTCCGTTTTTGAAAGGCACGTAAGCTGTTGGTTCCGACTGCATCTCCAGTTGATGGGTAGTAGCATGTAGTTCTCCCTATTTGATTCCAGGAATGGAGAATGTATGTAGAACTCTGCAGAATAATAGAGGATAAGCGCTGCGGTCTGCGGTCGTTGATTTCAAGCAACATCCGCAAGGGTCGGTTACGGAATGAGTGACCAAAATATTACGAGTATTATGTAGAGAACTACGTGCTTCGGAAGGCACGTTGAAGCGTTGGTCACGACTGCATTTATAGTCGGTAATATACTCCAATCCGTATTGAGCTAGCGTGAAGGGTCATGGCCCATCGCATCGACCATCAATAATGAAGGTCCGAGTCCCTGCAGTGGGGACGCAAAAGGGCGGATGATGATGAAGTCAGTAACTAGGTATTCTACATGCATTCGTTTTAATACCTACTACCTACATGAAAACTCCTATGTTGAGAATCGAACTCGAAAATTTATTCGCACATCAGTAGCAGCACTCACTGCAGACAATATTAACAAAGAGGCACAAAGGCTGCATAATGTATGATGGGCGACACATGCGTCCGGGAAGCTTCGCAAAAACTGCGCTTGCAAAATTCCCAACTGACACTGATCAAATGGAACATTTTTTTTTACTGTAAAGGAAAAAAGATTTCATTTTATAATGAGATTTTTCTTAAAATAAAAGTAACGGTCTATAAAATTTACTATTTTAAATAAAAAAGAGGTTTTAAATAAAATTTGAAAGAGTTCGATCTTATAAAGTTATGTTCAAAGAGAATTTAAGCACCACGTTTTAGTTATGTTATTTTGTTAAAAACAGCGTTGAACTTATTAAATTAGTAGATTTTGGGCGACCAAATTTTCTATTACATACGATTATTATACTCGTATTATTATAAAATCTACTTCTACTTTTACTTTAACGAAACTATATAGCATTACAAATTATAAGGTCTAATTCATTTTGATCAAACAACAATATCGATGTGATTATATCCGATATTTCTAGTATACGCCTAAAAATGTTAGAAACTTTACAAATAGGTACTCAATTATAAATTATACAGTATCAGGAACAAACGGTTTCATAATACGAGGACGAATACAAATAGAATTACCGTAAAACACGTAATGCTTCGCTACAAACGCTACGCTATTATGGTAGTCACCAAATGAATTCAACTTACTACATCTGAATTCACTCCAAACTTCCAACAGTTTACAGACAAAATTAATCCTAGTACCTCAGTTCATACAGCTCAAATTCGAACTGCGGTAGAGTTTGTTACACGGGACAATGTAACGAAGTTGCCAGTGAACCGGATTACTGTTTTATGTTGTTGGTAATAAAGTCGAGTTTCTAGTGTAGTGCGGTAGTGTTTTCACGAGTTCTGGAGCGGTCAGCGAACGGGCGAGTGTTTCAGTTGTCCGTTTAATGGATACGGAAGAGTATTGATCAGTGTCAACTTTGTTGAATCTAATTTTAATACGTTTATATTGGGGTTTAGTTTGATTTGAAAAACTTATTATTATGGAGCCACTGCGATTTAAATAATAACAATTGAAATTAAGTCACTAAGAATATTGTCTGTCATTAAACGATTATTGGATACCGTTATGTGCAACCAACGGTTAACTTGTCTTTAATAACCAATATCCACCTTTCTAATAAAGATTATGCTGTGTACACATACTTAATAGGTTTATTATGAAATTAAAAACTATTATGCTTGTAAGTATGTTAAATAATGATTATAAGCTGTTTTGTCTACCTAATAAATAAATAAAAAAAACGTAAAAGTGACAGTATTAAAAAGGGTTAATCTGCTATTGAGTAATCTTGAATATGTATAGTAGAGTTTATGTGTATCTATGGTTTGGTGCATTTGCATTTTGGAAAACTAACTGGTAAGACATAAATGACATGGCCAGAATTTGTTTAGAGCAGTATCTAAAAAATCCACTGAAATCCTGTGGGTTATATTAAAGCTTATAAGAATGTCTTTACAATATTATAAATTATATATCTGATAAAGAAGCGGGAGGCACCATAACAATGTCACAAAAATTAATACTTCAACATTTCTATTATCTAGATAATTTAAGAAGTACGTATACCTATATACGTAAAAGTATGTCGAGGTGTTACATTATATTTAAGTTTAAGATGTAAAATACACCAGATGTGTTGAAAAAATACTATCAAATGCGAAACATAGGTATTTATAACGTTAAATAAAAAAAAGTTGATACTTTTGTTTTATTTAACGTTATAAATACCTATGTCTCTTTACTCTGATGAGTAAAGAGACATGTCTAAATATGTATGTTTTACGGTTCCCTTACAGAATAGCTAATCTTCTTGCAAAATGCCAATTATAATATTCGGATACACTCAACTAAACATAATATTTTTAAAACACAAACCGTTTATTGCACGACTCTGCAACTAGACAAATGTGATGCCTTTATTTGTAACTAGCTTTCGCCAGCGGTTTCGCCCGCGTGGACCCTAGGGATATGTTCAGTGGAATAAAAAGTATCCTATTATCTAAGTCAGCTAATACCCTATCTGTATATCAAATTACATCAAAATCCGTTCAGTAGTTTCGGCGTGATTGACCGACAAACAACCAAACAAAGAAACTTTCACATTTATAATATTAATAGGATAATCATAAAATCATTTAATATTTTTTTTACAATAACAATACGATTCAGATAGCCTTATTTTTCTATTTCATCCAAAGTTCATTATCAAGTAGTAATTGCACATGTGGTAATTGCATTCATAATATTCGTGTATCTAAACGCAAATTAATTGTTTCTTTCCGATCGTTGAACTTTACCTTTATAAAATAGACGTACTATTTTGTTATGGCATGTTTTGTCGCATGTTCTAGACAATTCTGTACGTTACCATATATTTTAATTTATTTTATATCTATTTTTTACAAATTGATAACTACAGTACATTTAAAATGATTAATGTGACAGATTGGCATTATGTGAGACATCAAGAAAAAATATTACAATTCTTTTTATAATAAGTCAGGTGTTTTGGATACTATAAAATTTAATGCTGCAGCATCTCCAGACCACTTACTGTTATATCAAATATATTTGAAAAATAATATTGTAAACCGCAAAATAATAAAATACTTTTATCAGACTATTTGAAACAAATCTTAAGCACTTTATTTAACAAAGATTTTGGAAGTATATGCAATATTTTTATTTGTTTCAGTTAGTGGTGAATTTTATATTCATATCCTGAGTAATATAATAAATCTCGTTTCTTTGTTTTCATAAAAACAAAAGGAAAACGCTAAGAAAATATATATTACACAATTAAGAAAATTCAATGAAGGTATACAAAGAAAAATATCTAAATATTACCTCGAAAACGACTCTGAAACAAATAGATCAGTTAGGCTTTTTGTATAATAAATATAAATAACTTTCACCGGCCATTTGTGGTGTATATTATTACTGTACAGAATATATGACCACAAGATATACGAGCGAATACAATTTATTATGTCTTGTTATAAAATTTATGGGGATACGGATTTGAGGAAAACTTAATAAATATACTTTGGAAGAACGTTAGAAGATAATGTAGATAATTCTGCAGCGCTATTCTGTAAAAAAATCTGCGTGAAATTCGACATGTGTTGTCCGGCGTAGCACACCGTTTATTTTGTCCTAGGTTTCCGCGTCCAAACTTTTTGTTTTTGATCTACAACATCATTTCTATTTAATTATTCTGTTTTCGTAATTTGAAATTTGAGTAACGCGATATGCTGTTTCTGATTGTCAGTTCGTGAAAATTCTTTTACTGGTTCATACATAACATTAGATTATAATTAAAAATATTTTAATTAAAAATTAAAGAAGATATAAGTAACCAAAATAAAATGATTTAACTCTTGCATTACTAGAGTTCAAAATTAGCAACATTGACCAAATTTCACCAATCATATTCCATCAAGTGTTCATCATCGTCTTCGCTGAAAAATCTGTGAAAAAATATCTAAATGCGTCTTTAAAAGATGTACTAATTACACTTTTACAGTAAGAGGAACGAAAAAGGCATCATTAATACGTACCTTTATTGTATGCGCTAGATGTACGTTCTTTAAATTCACGCCATTTTGAATTGCAATAGTGTTTATTTAAAATACGTAATAGTCTTTAAGAATCGTCTTTAAATTTTAGTCGTCCACCATAAAATCTTTATTTAATTAGGCACCTTCTTCATGGATCATTTCGAATATTGGTAAAAATCAAACGGACAGGAATTTTATTTTATAGTGTGCTATCAAAGCTTGGCTATTTAATATTTTCGTGCATAGCAAAATAGTCAACCTTCTTTTGTTAATGAATTTTACAAATTTTTTATTTTCACAAATATGAGAAACGTTAATCAGTTGTATCATAATAATATCTTCATAAGATGATATAAAAAATACTCTACAGAACCAATCGAACCAAGTTTCAAAGTGAAATTAAGCAATTCTGTTTTCACGGCAATAAAAAAAAACAGAACAATGAAATGGCGCTGAAAAACATGAAACCCACATAAAACCAAAACAAAGGATCATTGTTTTCTATTGCTATATTTTCATCGTGCAAATGTTTTGATGAAGCGACGCTGGCGACGGCAATTCCCGAGGGCTAGAGGGGTGAAAGGGAGGGAAATGAAAAAAATGAAATGGAAATAATGATAAAACTGACGACATGTCGGGAGGGGCGTTTGATTCGAGACGTTACCGTACCAACGGAATGATAGAAACGAATGAATGTTCAACGAATGAAAATGTGAAAATTAATATGAAAGGAGAATGTCGAAATTTTTCAAAGTCGATCGTCAAAGCTTTGGTCTTTTTTTATTTAATTGATTCTTATCTATTTTAATGCAAATTTACATTTTTGTAGGTTGGTACAATTGCTACGCTGAGTTATGACTAGGAAGAAATTTTGACAGATGGTTATTAAGGTTTTGACTATAATACATATGCGCCAAATTCTTTGTTTACCAAAAAGGTCGATTTGTTTAATAATAATATTGAATTAAAAAACAATAGAAGGATAGCCGATATCCGAATCCGTGTTAAATCATTCTTAACCTGAAAAAAATATTAGAGAAAATTATAACCTTTTGACAGCAATTAGATATCATATAATCAAATATGTCTGATTTACCCTTGAATCATGATTATATTTATGAAAAGTTCATTTGAATTCATAAACTATTTTAAATATCATGTAACCTTACAGAAAGAGCTGCAGCGTCTCTTTTATATTTTAAATATTTTAATTAATTTAATAGTTTGTTTTGTTCCAGTGAGCAATGGCGCTTTAAGCGCTTGCGCTGCACAGTCCGGGGTAGACAAGGACGGCAAAAAGAAACACACGAGACCCACATTCAGCGGTCAACAGATCTTCGCGCTAGAGAAAACGTTTGAGCAAACCAAATACCTGGCAGGCCCTGAACGAGCAAAGCTCGCGTACGCGCTTGGCATGACCGAGTCACAAGTCAAGGTAAAGTAAGCTTCTTTATATTAAAAAATACGTTATTTTTTTCACTACATAACAAGTGTTCGAATTTAGCTGCGTTCATTATAATATCTTCTTTTATGTTTTGGAGCGAAAATAAATGTTACGCTTCCAGAACTTGTCATTTTTGTGAAAAAATATGCCCAGATAGGAAACCCATATTTATTGAATATTACGATTTATATTTGCTATCTATCTTTTATAAATTAACAGTATCCAATGTTCAGTATTTCTTTTTTAAGAGGTCCATTTTACATCTTCTTTATAATACATCTATTGTTAGAAATAATATTCAATAAGCCCAATTTTACTTTGGCCCTAATAATTTGTTTAAGTAACAGAGTGTGAGAGGAAATATTTAATAAAGTTCGGACAATTAACTTATAGAGGCTGTGACGAGTAGGGTAGCAGCACTGATGTCCGCCACTCGGCTTAATCCGATTACACAGATTGAAAAGTCAATCACTTAGCCGGTCGCGCGGCGCAATCAAACGATTCGCTCTATTACTAGGGATCAAATGCGAGCGACATGTGGAAGTACTTATTGACTTTTGTTTTGTTAATATATAATATATGCGTCTGCTTGTTGCTACGTAAATGGAATTTAGCATTTTACCTTGGTACGCAATGATTATTTTATTTATAAGTTAAAGCAAGTGCAAAACGTACTTTCTTCATAATAAAGAAATGATAACGTTTTAATATTTAATTAAAATATAATTGTGACACAATAAAAAAGTGTTCTCCTCCAATTAAACTTTACACGCAAAATAAGCGTAAAAAGACACAATTTTATTTTAAACTAATTAGGGTGTGACACGGCGTCCCCTCGCTAAATGGCCGCTAAGCGCTCAGGGCATTTTTGGGGTGGCCGAAGCTTGAGCTCCAACCCACTGCGGTTACGGATGTTTAGATATTTTGCCATAGCTAAAGGTTATTGAATTTTCTCCTCCGTTTTGAAGCAAATTTTACTTTCACTATTTTTGTGTTTAGATCATGATACAGATATTTCCCTTCACTTATAGATTTTTCTTCTCTGGTTTGATATTTAAATTTTGATTATTAAAATTAGTTTTCTTGAAAATTCATGCATTTAAATAAATTTTCAATTCTGAAAACTCACATAATTAATTTTTCTATTTATATAATTAAAATTGATAGGTAGCCTTGAATAATAGTTTTAAATAAGAAGTTTGTAAAAGTAATGCAATAGTGACGGTATGCAAATATAAAAAAAAATATATGATTGTGTGATCACTATTCGATGCTCTTAACTAACAAATTGGCCAAAGTCTTGCATTTTTAGTAAGAGCGATTAACTGAAACATTGAGAAATGTGAGTTAATCTTTTATAGTAATTATTGCCAAGTTAATGACGTGTTACTAAACAAACTTGAAAAACTCTTTTAGCTTAAAGGACCACGTCAGAAAGAATCAACACCCTTAACTTTATCCCTGATCATAGATCATGACGGCGTTAATGTTGGGGTCCAAATTGTATTAAAGTAAGTGATACGTACCATTAAGGGGCAACTCTACAATTTGACTTCATTGAACATTGCTTGAAATGTGAATCTAATATCACATTAACAGTTTTTGGGTACAACCGTTATCCTAAAATTTGTACAAAATTACATTTGTACAAACTATTTTGTATTTTTGTTGTAAAAGTAAATTACTTAAATAAAGTATAAATCATTATTTCTATTGGCGATCATCACAGATCCATCATATATTTCCTTATTATCATACCTAATGAAGCAAACAAATTCAATAACGGCCCCAGTTCCAATTGCACGGATTATAGTGAAAGTTGGCGCATGAAATCATGTGGACACAATGTGATTAATGGATCATACATCAGAGGAACAGTTGCGTTATACGATAATACTATTCGCGATTCCGATCTAGTGGTTGTTAGAAGTGACAGACGAATTATTAAGCATTGAAATTTTTATTTGAAACGTTTAAGATGTCAAAGAAGTTATTAGGAAATCATCCAAGTAATAAACTCATAAATTAAATTAAATTTTAAAGTTCATATTCAATATATTTTAAAAATTCGTATGTTTAGCTAAGTGTTTTATAATCCGTTGGACAAAAAGTATTCATCCTGTTGAGCAATAATAAAGAATTTGTATACATTTTTAAGGAAATCGTATAAAAATTACTATTTGATAAAACTTTTAATGCAGTTTATTATTTCTTTTTTATTTCCCTACTATCTAAAAGTAAATAATAAACTTTGTAAATTACTAGCCACAGGTTAACCTATATTCCTAATAGTATGCACTAGCACACACCATTTACCGATGCACTATAATCCTTTGTAGCTAACTAACTGCCCGAACAAACGAGTACTCCCATTCACAAATTGGGCTCAAAAGCCAATGTACAGAGGGTAATTACTTCACAAAGTTAAATAGCTGCAATTCAATGAATAATGTACGTTATGTCCAACGTTTAGGATCGTCGCGGACTGCAAAGGGGGATGGTTTGATTCCCTTGTCATACCTCATTTGGCATTCAATAAAATTAATCCCCACGGATGATTAAAGGGAGGGTGCACTGTTTACACATGTGACTCGCACCGGTGGCGCATCGGGAATGCATAATGAAATTAATTGTTGACTGACGACCGTTTATTTAATAAGTATGTTTTACGGAAAATTAAATGAGCTTGTTTATTATGAGCTCTCATTTCAGCGCATTTATGGAAATAATCACAGTTTAATATATTAAATTCAAACACTATTTGTTACAATATTTTGTTCTGGATATTGTAGTATCTGTAGAAAATCTAAAATATTGGTTATGTTATATAAAAATCGGAGCACATAACATACATTGCTCTTTCAAGTTGAGTAGCTAAGCTTTTAATTAGGAAATCGTAAATCGAAGGTGCCAAAGATTCGGGTAATTATGTACGTGATATTATTAATATTACATATTTAATTTCTTTAATAGTTATGTGTTTATTATGTTTTATAAATCTGTCTTTATCGACCAATCAATTAGCACATTTCACATCCCAAAATATCTATATCCATTCGTCACCGGAGCGAGGGCCTTAAAGTTTACAGCTATTATAACACTGATATACAGCCGTCATAACATCGGCCCCGCTTACTGCATATCATAATTCGTTCTCGGGTGCTTAAAATGCAAATCTGAGTATATCGTTATCATTCCTTTTATGGGAGCATTTAAGCTGCATCGAATTAGCTGGGCCATTGTTGGAATACCACACCGATATTACACGATAGCTTATATGTTCCTCTAAATTAGATCTACTGTTAATAATATTTAGGCTATGTTTTTTTCTTCTTCATCATCTCGAATTCGACTTCGATCACATCACTCGATCGAGTGTTCTCCAATTGATTGATAACTTACCGAGTTGACATAGAGTTGAAAATTGATTGTAGTAGTCGAATATATCTAACATCCTGGCGTGTTTCTTTTGTGTTTCTTCTGGTGCCACAATGATATGCATAATGTGTATATATGTATCTATACTAGAAATTCACATTCATTGAATTGATTTTGGTTATTGTTTATTCAACTATTTTTGTACGTTTGTTACATATTTTATTGAAGTGTATCTAGTGAAAATGGAATTGTACTCTTAATTATATAGAAATTAAATGTTGATTTAATAAAAAACAGTGAAGTGAATAGGTAATATGTAATGCTGTTTTATTTAAATTGAAATTTAGATATCTAAGATGTTCCGTGCATTGCAGGTCAATTCATTTCACGTTATTTGTCATTTAATTACTAATTTACAGGTGTTTTCTCCGTTTACCCAAGTAAATGCGCATTAAGAGATTTCAATCTATGCCGAAGTGCTAACACGCAATTAAGTTACATTTCTGTGATTAAGAAAATGTTTACGCTGTGAAATGAAATGGCGAACGGCGCGTGTGCCACCCTAATGACACCATAGATAAGATAAACTGCACTTTAAACTCATGTAGATGACTATTGATATCGCGAGGGTACCCCAGAGGGCAGCACCGAGCATATTAAATTATTTTGATGGATGACACTATAATTTAATTTTAATGTGTTTTGATAAAATAGAGCTTTTATGAATGCTAAATCGTGGAACGATTTAATTTTCTTATTTTTTTTGTGTTTCAAAGCAGTAATTTGAATATAATATTGCGTGGTGAATTTTAATGGCGATAAAAGTTTAGATAGTGACGCGGCTTTTTCTTTGATTGATTGTTATAATAACGTTTTAGCGGAGTGTGTATCTGCATTAACAGATTAATCTGTCTCATTACTTTTTTATTCTAATGGTCCGTAAGAATTTGGTATGCTTTGTTGGGTATATAGCTATAAAACATATAGTATAAGCAGACTTTGTAACGATTATTTAATTTATATTACTTCTGCATTGTAACAAAGTCAATAGGTTTAACAACTTCAAGTATATCTGCTTAAAATACTCGATCACAAGTTTAAAATTGTGAATAAACAGGATATATTTCGTATGATGCATTAATGTCTAAACGTAGTATATTACTAATGTATAAACATTTAGGTAATGATTTCAATGCTAATTTCCTCGGAACAACAAAACAATAAACAAACATAAAAGTAGTTATCATATTTATTTAGACTTAATAAAGTATGAGGGTAATTGGTATGAAAAAGATGCCAGAAAATGAAATCTAATTAAATTAAAAAAATCATTATATATCATGAAATTGCTCTCTATTAGTCGCTAGTACAAATTTCTTATTAAACATAAAACATGGTGTATTTATTACAAAACAGATGTGATGCAAAAGGATTTGAAATGATTATGAAATTAATTTCCATATAATTCGATTAATAATATAATATTTTATCAGAAGGATTGGCTACCTTTGTACTGTTACGAGTGTCATCATAACAAAATTTCTTATATTGTCGTTAAATCAGTTTCTATCACCCAAGTAGAGAACGCATCTGGGGTGTATCGCTTAATTATGTCGCCACGTGTCTCGCGACATGTGTAGACATACGCCTGTGTTGTGGAACAACACTGGGGCTGTCTTAACGATATTATACAAATAATTTTACTGATAATGCGATCATTACATATAATATTAACCTTTTTTAAATATTTTTTCACTTTTCAAACCAGTCTTATATCTTTATGCAGCTATTTTTGAGATTATACAAATTTGCAAATGTCGTTAGTGGTATCCTCAACGTAACCTTCATGTTTTTTTCTCTTCTTACCTCACTAACTAAAATTAATTGTCCTATTCGTCTTGTCTCTTTAGTCAACTATCATTTCTTAATTACTTTCCTTTACTTTCTCTCCAATATATCTCTGATATGTCCATCACTTAAACGGTCTCTTTCTCTCCATCTATTAACATTCGTGTTCATTACATTATTAGAAATATTTATTATTCTTATTTATAATAAATAGCCCATATTAAGTCCTATGATTCTTTCTTAACACTATTATCAGTGTAGAAATTTAAAATGTCATCTTGTATACTAATTTCTTGTTTACATATCTTTCGTTCATTTTTAATTCATCCGTCTTCTTCTGTATTTGTATTAACATAAAGTTCAATGTAAACATAAAAGGCTTTTGTTTTAATCTCCTTGTGTGCATTTTAAATATTTCCCAATAACAATTTGTCAGAGTAATCGCTCCACCGATATGTTTATTCATCTATTGACACTCGCCGACAGATATCCGCCTAAATTCCCAGCTAAATCTATTCGACAGACAACGATGGTATTTCCATATACCAAAACCGATGAAGCCATTGTTCAATATTGAATTTTCAACTGAAACAATAAGGCTTTAAGGGTTATTCTCCTTTATGGAATCGAGTAATCAATCGATTGTTCCGATGACAGTAGCAAGCGTATGTTAATCGATGATCATTAGTCGAATACCCTGCGTGAGTTTCACTTGGTTTTGGTGTTTTGGGTCAATTAGTATTTGAGAAGTTTTTGAGCCAATCATCGTCACCATTTCTATGTTTATTTATTTTTTATTTAATATCCGTCTTTATTTTTCACTATGGATTAATTCATTACAAACCTAAATACCTAAAACCTAAATATATCATATAGTTTAACGACACATCGCTAGAGCCTATTTTTCAGTCAGCATGTATCAAAAGAGGTGTGGTCTCCCCCGCAGAAGATCAATTCTGCTAATATAAAAGTAGTTATAGCGCTTATTGGAGTTTTTATAGTACTTTTTTGTCAGTTCTTGTCGTTATATTGCAAAGTAACAAACAGAAGCTTCTGTTGCCATTTATAAAGATATTTTTGCACTATTAATATTTGGCGTTAAATGAATAATGCAGTTGTAATATGTAATTAAAACGCCATCGAAGTGTTATTCATCACGCTCAGGCCTTCCCTATAGATGGAATCGAAACAAATCGAATAGGGAGAATGAGCCATGACCCACCACGCGGGCCTTAATGCTGATTGGTGGGTATTAACGACTGCAGATGTAGTCTGGACCAACGACTTAACGTGCCTTTTGAAGTTCGAGATAATAAATTTTTAAGGTACCGATTCTTTGATCGGTAATTGCTAAAGTTGCTCAATAACCATATCGCATACCAAGCCCGCTAACCACTGTGCAATCGAACTCTACTATCGAAGTATCATTATTCGTTGAAAATAACTTATTCAGGTCCCTGTCAATATATAGGTACATATTGAATCAATCTTTCCCTACCGACCTGCGTAAGGTGTACGTCCCATATATGTACACGTCAATAAGCCCATACGCGATCACCCTGCGTGGGCGTTTCACAGAACCCTAATTGATTGGGGCGCTTTAACTGCACATTTTTAGGGGTCGGTAGGCAACAATCGTCTGCGATCACCTTATTTACGACCTACAAATTAGTTTTGTCGATTCTGGGCCACTCTGAGAAGGCGCTTATCCGTTGTTGAGATAAAATTTATTGTGGATAAATCGTGTGATTAAAACGGTCCTTTTGTTCGATAGTTTTATTTTTCTAACCTAAACCTTTTCTGTATTATCGGGATTTATTTTTCACGTAACGTATTATAAGGTTTATTTTTACAATCATTATGTCTACAGCCTACTAATACATATAAAAATAAAACCGCAGCAATCGAATTACAAATAATCGAAGAAGAGACAACGCCACTCAGAATTACGTACGCTAGTGATAGTACAAATAAACTTGGTCCAATATGTTTTATCTAAGATTAACATAAACTCGGGTAATTACCAAAATGGGTACGTAAATTCTACATAGTAATAATTCAACCCAGGAATAATCATTATAGTCTACAGTTTTCCAAAATGTTAAGTTAAAAATGGCAATATTTACCTTCATGTTATTTGTAATGCTCGGGATATAATTCAAATATTTACTGTATATTCCCTGCATCTTGGAATAGAAATCGAAACAATGATTTCAATAAGAATAAGAAACAAATGGATATATAATAAACTATATGATAATAAAATAATAAATTACAGATCACAACTTGCAAGAGAAACAACATTTGTCAACAATGAGTAAAAGCAAAAGAA